TAATAAAAGACTTGAAAGCAAGTAAAGTGACATTTGGCTTTTATCATTTCCCCTCTCTGAACACTATTCGGCTTAAGGGGTAGAGGTGAAGGTCATCATCTGGTGGAAACTCCCAGTTGCCCGAGACGATGAAATAATCGTCTCTAGCACCCTTTTTGGAGTCTAGGAGGTCGGCGACAAGTTTGTATTCTGTTGATCTCGGCTTAAGGTAATAGATATAGCCCTTTTCTGACTTCAGGTCGCACATGGTGTAACAGTACTGGATGTCGCCTAGAGTAATCCTAGCGTTCTCTTTTTTGGCTAAGGCAATTATACCATTTATGACTCGATAAGAGTTAATGGCTAGTTGTATCGGGTTAAGCTTATAGTAGTGAAGGATTTGGCGGAAGAGGATGTCAAGGGGAAACCTGAGCCCGCACTCAATGAAGGCTACTACTGGGAAGGGCATGGACTTGTCTTTGGGTATGATGGAGTCCTCCTCCCTTACCAGCCTAAGGTGGACATCGGCAGGAATGGAAAACTCCTGCCTGAAATATTCTAGCTTAGTTGGGGTATGTACTCTCCACCTGAACATACCTAGGACGTTGGCTAAAGTGGGGGAGGTGTTGAATTTCAGAAGGGAGTGGTTTGGCTTAAAGGACCTCGGCTTAAACTCAAAACAGAAACTAGGGCAAGGGTTTTCAGGATCTAGGAGGAGTTCGTTTTAATTTTTTCCTAAAAATAGGAGTTTTAGAACAAAACCCAAGCCTAATCTCTATAGAAGCAGAGAGTTAAAGGCAGGAATCTAGAAAATACAAATAGAAAACAGGGCAAAATGTATGATTCAGACTCAAGAAGGTAGCAAAAAATCAAGAACAGTGATAAGTTATCAAGAACATCAAGTGTATGAACAACATGTGTGTGTGCGTGTATACCCAGAAACAGATTGTACAAAAGCAGAATCATGAAACATATGACGAATGATGGAATTCAACACCCAAGTAACTATTTAAGAGCATGAACAAGTTTGCAATGGCAGTATGCAAACATAGCAAAGTTTGAAGTAAAACAAAAAATTGAAACGAAGGGAAACAGCGGCTTACTAGGAAAAGTGATGCCGGTGTAATAAATGCCGAAGTTAAACGATGGTAGAACGAGTAGCAAGACAGTGAATGCCTCGCCAGAGCAGGAGAATGAAAACAGTTGCAAAAAGCTTCGAAAGAATGAAAATGGAGGATTTGGGAGATGAGTGTTAGAGAGAGAAAGTTTGGAGAAAACAAAGATACAAAAGTGAAATGGCGAAGAGAGAGGGAAGTGTTTTTTATCAAAACACGAAAGGCGGCAAAATCACAATTAGTGTGCCTAGGACGATGTGTCTGTTAGGCGGCGCACGCAAATGCGATGCGACTTGATGGTGCGTATCAGGTATGGTTCAATAGGGAAGAGACGCGTGGTGAAAACAGTTGAGTTACTGTGCATAACAGCTCATACGCGTGTAGAAACTCTTAGAGTTCTTGATTTAATGAAGCAAAGACCTCGGCTATGGGAACGATCTCGGTTAAAGAAACTTGGAAAACTTGGTTCTTGGTTCTAAAGCATTGATGAAAACAGACTACAAGTCTTGGTCATATGGAGCTGACGAATGATGACCTCGGTAATGAAGTATAGAGCAAGTTTAGCCGACGTGCTATAACTTCAAATGATATAGGTTCCATCACCTCAGGATGCTGAGGTAATAGAACCTAGGGGGCAGTTGTGGGGACATATTTTGTGAGTAGCAACACGTGGCCAAGGTGGCACCGGAGTGCCAGCCGAGGTGCCACGTGTCGTGGTTATGATGCCGAGATAATCTCGGCTAGGCGGAGGTTATCTGCAAAGACGCCGAAATCCGGTATAAACGGATAAACTATAAGAGTCCTAGAATGTGGGATGATTTCAGCTTGGATAAGGATAAAACTCTTAGGGAGTTTATCTTTATCTATTAAAGAGTCCAGTATGGACATTGGGCCAGAGTCCAAGGGAAGCTAGGCTTCTACAGGGATCAGGTCAGTACTAACTATAAAAGTAAGACACCATCATGGGTCTAAGGTACGTTTTTTGTATTCTGGCTAGTGAGTTAAACACTATTTGCTATCTTTGAGAGATAACTTGTAAAACCCAAATTGTGTGTAGGATTATTTTATCGGATAGATTAGTAATTAAATTAATTTATATGGGTCATTTATTAATATCAAAGAATTAGTTATGAGATGGCATTATATTTTCTATTACTTAGATGGGTAATTTTGTAACTTTGAGAAATTAGGTTAATAAGCCCACCTATTGTGGCTTTAAGTCTTGGGAAACAAACAAAATAGAGGCTGAGAATTGCTCCATAGGCGGCTAGGGTTTGAGAAGGTAAAAGAAAAATTAAAGAAAAGAAAACAAAACCAAAGTGAAGAAGGAGGATTCATAGAGTGGTGATTTTTCTTTATTTATCACTTAAGGTAAGATTTATTTTATTGTATTCTTATCTATGATTTTGGTGTTAATATATCAATAGATGATTTTATGGGCATATATGATTAAATAGATATATTGATGTAGCCTATGTTGGGGGTCTCGATTTTGCTCAATTTTAGAGTGTATTTTGCATCCCGTTTGGGTGGTTCATATTTTGAGATTGATATGTGATGGGTTAAGTTTAATGGTGGTGTATTTGTGGGATACACGATTGACTACAAGCAATTACAAATTTTTACATGTATATAAACAACAATAGAATAATATGGGTTGAGAATTTCTGAAGCCGTGATGCCTTTGTTTTGATGCTAAATCGTGGGAGTTCCTAATAGACTATTGGGATAATTTATTCTATTGTTGTTACAGGAAGAGATGGATGGGTGCACATAATAATTGTTTAAGCGGTATAATATTTTATTAGGTTTGTGAGATTGAGGTGGATCTTGGTAATTTGAGATTAGCTTGGAAAATATTATTTTAGCTGTTTGAAGGTAAGTAACCCTCTATCACTGCTGGTTCATTTTTATTCCTACTGAATCGTTTAAAATTATAACTATTTATTTATAGCCTTCATGTTCTCTTAAAATAAAATATGGGTCAAGTATAAAACAATATCGAATATTATTATGAAAGTTATTTGAATATTTTGTGAAACTATTCTGAAAATTGTACCAAATGTTTATTCTGAAAATATCGAATATTTTATTTAAAAGTTGTGTATTGTTTGAATTTTGAATATCACTCTAGTCTGACTATGATTTGGACCCTAGCCAATGGAGGTTATTTATTGGTACAGAAACTAGTTTCTTTTGGGGCTTTACCACCGGCCTATATGTGGTTTTAGGCCTTGTCACGGGCTAAGTGACCGTAGTCATTAAGACTTGGATTTTGTGAATCAAATCATTGAACCATCTGAATATCGAACAATCTGAATATCGAACCATCGATTTGAACAACGAATTACTTTGAATTATCTTGTTGACTTTTCATTTAAAATGTATTGTACATTGTTTATTTTTAGCTATGAAACCACCTTAAAAATAATGGTTCATTTATTGAACTGTAGAAAAAATTATATTTATTGGTTATCGATTTATTTATTTATTTTTGTATACTTGATCCAGCTAGCAGTGATGGTTGGTTATTTACTGGGCTATCTCGCTTACCCTTATTTTTTTCAGATTCTGAAGAGTAGAGTTGCGCAGGATTTTTTCTACATGTGAGAGTGCCGAGAGTAGGACAATGATTTAAGTACTTGGATTATTGTTTTGTTAGTGGATTAAATTAGTGGACTTGGTGGACATTTTCATATAAGAACTATTTATTTTTATGGATTTTGACATTATGACAATTAAGGATTTAATTTGAGTATTTTACATTGTGGGTTATGTGATTGGATTCTTAGCCTTGCATGCTCACTTATATGAGTGTGCGGCGTTGTCACGGAGCTTGGGGCGTGACATAACTGAGTACTGACTTGATCGTCGGAGTGCTCCCGAGTGAACGAACAACCGTCGGAGTCTTTTCTTTCTGTGACAGGTCGTTCGGGGGCAATCTATTCTGTCAGTGTTCTCCAGCTGAGTGCCTGTTTGACAGCGTGATCAGAAAACAACACAAACATAGTCTTAGGCAACTTTTGACTAGTATTAGTTAGAGGGATTGACCTATATGCCCCCCATCAATTTTAATATCATGTTTGATTAAGGGATAAAAAGAGGAGATAAAAGTTACAGAACACCTTGTCCACACAGTTTTTAATATATTGTTTGTTTAGTCCATAATTAAAACTCCAGATAATTTTAATATTGGTTCAAGGGTTTCAATGGAGAAAAATGGGAGTATTAATTAATAGGGTTTATTACATTTTCTCACTTCCAATCCCTCCAACTAATACTAATATAGTTACTCTGTCATCTCTTTTAGTAAGGAGAAAGAGATTAAAACTAATACAGACGGTATGAATACACAAAAATATACAAGATTAATAAAAGGTAAATTTTTGACGAAAAGTGAGTAAAGTATTATATGAATTACAATATTAAGGGAGCTCAATGTAATTATATTAAAATTATGACATTTTCAATTTTATTTTTTTCAAATCTTAGGGAGATCAATGTAGATGCCCATACTTCAGTGACAAAATTGATCACCAGAGCATCGGAAACAAAAATAATCTGAAAAGAGTAATGTTCCACAAACATAAATTTTCATACAAAAACAAAAATAATCTGAAAAGAGTAATGTTCCACAAACATAAATTTTCATACAAAATTTCAGCACAGAATAACATAACTTACTATATTCCTTCCATTTCCAAACAAAAAGAGATCACTTGGAACTAAAATTTCAAAAATGTCACAGCCCAATCTGCCACATTATTTTCAATATGATTTATGTACGAATATTTTTTCTACAAATCATTTTCTATCTAAAATCAGTAATATGAATCATAAGTACACTAGTTAGTATATTAACATAATTGATCTAAAACAACTAAGCCATGTGATTACAATCAAATAAAAAAGGCAAGCAATTCAGAAGAAATTTACTAAAATAAATGGTCTAATAATATGTTCCAATGACAATCAAACAGATAGCCAATAAGCTTTATGCAGTCCCCCCTCCAGTCAGATGAAGGTGTGATATGATCCATAGCACCTAGCAAGACAACTAATAGACTTCCACCAACTAACCTAAGTGAAGCTTACAATTTATTTTGATTAGTAATACTACATACCCAGAATTTTAACCCTGAAATATCAATATGTGGTCGACATTCATTCTAAATATAGACCCCACAATACACCAAATCAGTCTCCACCACACAATGAAAATCTGGGCAAAAATCTGGTCCCATTTTGCTAGCTATTGTTCTCCATCCAGCACAGTAGTGACAAGCCATAATTACCAAACTACCCTGACATCTTATTAGGACAGTCCAACTTACCTCAGTCCAAGTGCAAACAACGCTGATTCAAGCTGCTCATTATCAGTACCTCTGCACATCTAGGGCATGGCCTTTCTTGGCCACATTCCTTCTCACTGAGAACCACCTCACAACACTGAATAAGATTTTCCATCTTCTCCGAGCTTCGTACCTTTTTGATAAGTACCTTCTCTGAGCTTTATTCAAGGCAGCCGTGGTTGAACGAGCCAATAAAATGTCATTGACAGTGTCATGTAGGGTGGCTTGTGATTCCAGATTTGGGTTCTGAGATCGGAGTGAACAATGGGTATTGAAAACCTGTAGATGTTCATCCTGACAGAATCCCTGAGTCCTGCACTCCGTGTCGCAGATTGGGGAGTTGGTGACATTGCCTGGCATAGATTGTTCATATCCATGATTTAATTTGCTTGTGTCGCCAGTGCTTTGCAAACCATCATTATGGAAGCTTTTCATATTCCCCATGGAAGAGATGAATGACATGATATCTTGAGATGAGGTACTCAGTTTAAATGGGATATCTTCGATGGAGGTTTTCCTGGCCACATTCCTCCTCACGGAGAACCATCTCACTACGCTGAATAGCATTCGCCATCTTTTCTGAGCTCTACTTCTTTTTAGTAAGTACCTTCGGTGAGTTTTACATTTACTCAAGCCAACAGCTGAAGAATGAGCCAATGGAATGTAATCGACGGCACTGTCTACATTGGCCAGTGGATCCAAATCAGACTTCTGAGATTGGACCGCACAATGAGTATCCAAAACCCTCGTTTGCTTGTCCTCGCAGAAGGCCCCAGTCATGGATTTGGTGACGTAACCAGGGAAAGTCCAAGCCAGTTCGTATCTATGTTCCATATCGCCAGTACTCTGAAAACCATCATCATTGAAGCTATTCATGCCACCTATGGAACATGGCATGATAGAAGAGGCACTAAGGTTTTTTGGAATTTCTCTAACATGGGTTTTTCCAGCCACATTCCTCTTCACTGAGAACCATCTCATTAGGCTGAATAAAACCCTCCATCGTCTCCGAGCCTTCTCTCTTTTTGATAAGTATGGTCTTTGAGCTTTGTTTTTGGCAACAGCTGCAGAACGAGCCAACAGAATGTCATTGACAGCACTGTGGAGGTTGGCCTGTGATTCCAAATGATCATTGGAGCTATTCACAGCTTCAATAGCACAAATTGATGGATTAATAGCTGGAGAAGGGGCAATTGAGAATTCATTAATTTCATCGAAAGGGTTTTTCTTGGCGACATTCCTCCTCACCGAGAACCACCTCATTATGCTGAACAACATTCTCCATCTTCGCTTAGCATTATTTTTAGAAAAGCATCTTCTCTGAGCTTTATTTTTGGTAACAGCCACAGAACGTGCAAATCGTATGTCATTGACAGCATTGTGTGGATCACTCTGTGATTGCAAGGTTGTGTTGTTACATTGAAGGGGATGATGATTATCAGAAAACTGCAGAAGCTCATCCTCGCAGAAGGCCTGAATCATGGAGTCTGTATCGCAGATTAGGGGGCTGGTGACTTGGCTTGTGAAACTCAAAGGTTGTTCATATCTATTATTGATATCATCAATACCCTGCAAATCAAAATCACATAAGAAATTACAACCATAAGAAAATTATTATCTTAAGCAACAAAGAACAATACTGACTTTTCAATGCTTTAAAGAACATGAGATCCTCATTTTGCTAAAATGCAAGGGTTGTTTAAAACAGTAAGCTTCTTTATGAGGAGAAATGAACACACACATCATTGTTTCTTCATATTCTAGGAACAATATTTAGTGTCTTTGTAAAAGTGAAAGAATCTCCTTCAAGAACTATTATTTCCACTTCTGCTGAGGCAGGGCCAGAATAAACAACCCAATAAGAGAATCTAGTAAAGCAATTTTTAAGGCAGTACAATCTTCTCATACAATAGGGACTCCAATAAGGAAAAATTGCATTTAAATGGAGGTGCAAGCAAATCTGTGTCTGGTGCAAATGAAAATTGTGGCATGGGACACAGTCCTCGCTGCGATTTGCATCTCCATGAAAATGCAATTACTTTGAGTTGTTCCTATATAAATGCAATTTTCCCTTCCAATAAATACTACAATAGATATATTTAATTGTAAGCTTCTGGATTCAGCATGGAATACCTCTTCCCCGCTGCTCCAAAACAAGTTCTCAGGCTTGTAGTTGATATTTTGTGTCACAGAATCCTGGCCACAGATCCTGAAGTTAGGGATTTCGCCTTGTAAACAAAAAGGTTGGCGGCTTATATAATCCAGTTCTTCAACACGAATCAAGCCAAAGTCGTCCAAAGTATTAGCAACCCCAAGTGAAATGATGTCTGTGGGACCTTGCTGTGCATTGGCATACATATCAGGAGTGTCAAAATTACAACTATCTATACTCTCTGGCGTGGTCAAGTTTGAGGGGTGGAGAGCATTCGCAAACTGTTGAGAGCCCATCGTAAGAGATGCCTCATCATCAATAGGTACAACTTGCTCCCAATGTTGAAATGCTGATACTACCAAATTGTGGGCATCATCCTGATAACAAAATCAATCAGAAAGGAGACAGAAACAACCACAAACAGACAGACAGAGAGTAAAAACTTAAGGAATCAGAAGAGTGCCTTTTCAGTCACAGACAGCTTATCCACGGTAATGAGTTGTTGTTCCATAAGAAGCCCGACCAATTGCCCCACTACATTAAAAACAACAGTAGTTTTTTGTTGAGAGCTGGGAGGACAGTACAAGTATGCCCTCTTATCAAGTATACATGTTCGGGCATGGTCCACAGTGATGTCCCACATCATAGCAGACATCCTCACACCAAGGATCTGCAGACACCCACAGAAACAAGTATAACTGTCACTTCATATGCAAAGGAGGGAAAAACTGTTTATTCTCCAGGATGCAAGAAACCCTTCCTTAACTATATCATAATGTCATGAAAAACTTAATGGGGTCAACATAGGATATCCTTCAGGTAGAAAGCTATACACCCAAAAAAGACATGTTCCTGTTAAGTCACTAGTTATCTTAAAAGCTTAACACCTTGCCTCACGTGCAACCCCGTTGTGCACGTGAAGATACAAATATCCATACATAGAGAGGAAGGAGGAAAAAAAAAAAAAAAACAGCAAATGAGAGAGAGAATGCAAGCAGGGACCAAATGCAAATGGTGAAACTTCAACCCCAAACCTCCCCCAACTTGAGTTCTAATCAGTGTGTTTGGTTTCAGTTTTCTGAATTCAGTTTTTTGAAAACTGAGTTTTTTGTTTTTCATGTTTTTTGTTTTTAGTAAATATTTTTAAATTTTAATTAATTTTTTACTTTTTTAGATGCACTTTATTTAAATGTATCTAAATAGTAAAATATTTATAAAAAAAATTAATAAATACACAAAAATACAAAAATGTACTAAATTTTCGTTTTTTTTTTGTATTTTTTGCTATTTAGTGTATTTTTTAAAGATTTTTTTTACAAATATTATACTTTTTAAGTGTGTTTATGTCAGATTTGTCTAAAAATTAAAAAAAAATTCTTAAAATATTAAAAAAAAATCATTGGAAACATTAAAATACGAAAAATAAAAAGTAGAATTTTCTGAAAATTATTTTCTAAAAACTGGAACCAAACAAGTTGAATCCATTTTAAGTAACCAATTGTCCCAAAAGCTTAAGCTCTAAGGAAATGGGCCCTATTTAGCCCATCCCAAGTTAAAATAGCAAATAAAACAAAACACCTCATCACATCACTCTCTCTACTTTTTTACATGCCTTTTCGTAAAAGCTAAATAGCCAACTAAAATAGCCTATTCCCAGATCGGTGTATATATCAATCTTTTCAATAGTTCCCGAAATTAGAGCATATTACTAGCAAGTACTACAAAAATAAAAATCAAGAAAAGAGCAGTCAATAATACCCTTTTTAACCTCTCAGGGTCTATATTGAGTAGAGTCACAAAATCCTTCACAGTTTTAATGTTGTCTTCTGTCAAACGCTTATGGAAAGCACCATCTTTAGCAATCTTTTCTAATCTCCAGACTGCATCAGATAGAGCCGGAGGGTGGTGCTTCTGATACACTGCAAACAGAAACAAGAAGTTACATAGGAGAATTTTCTTTTCTTAACATTAAAAAGATCTCAGACACCCTAGTATGTGTAATGATATACAATCTCATAATATCATAATATCATAGAATTGTACTTATGCATGAAGCCAGTAAGACAATTATTCAAGTAACTAAAAAACATATCTTCCATAGGTATATCTTTAATCACTTAAATGGTTATGGACATTATTAGTCATTCAGATGAATTTCACATAATGATATTTTGAACTGATTACTACTGATAAGTTGATAATGCATAATAGTGAAAAAAATAAATAAAATAAATAAGAGAATAATAGCTGACAACAATGAGTTCAAAGTTTTTAAAAGAAACTAGTACAACAAGGAATGTCCAAAGACTCCAAACACAGAATTTCACAACATATAGATGCAGAGAGAGAGAGAGAACAATAACCTATGGTTAAACTAGATGCAATGAAAAAATGAAAATCATAACTAACAAAAGAAATTAAGAGAACAGAACCTATGTCCTGTGTTTTTCATGCTTCCAGTGTTCTAACCAATCCAGTGAACAAACAATAGTTCAAACAATACTCAAGAATTCAGGACATGAACCAAGAAAATATGGAAAAGTTGTCATAACCCATTGATAACCACAAATACTGAAAGAATGGAAGTTTATGAACATGTCACATGAAAGGGAATTAAGGGCTAATCTATATTTCTCATAAAAGAATTGGTTCAAAACATTAAATTCCCACTATTTATATTTGCATTCAGTACACTACCTGTGTTACATGGACTCTTCAAAATGATAAATAATACCCAAATTCCAAGAGTTCCAGGTGTCCACATATGGACTTGTTAACCACCAACTCATCCAAAGCTTAAGCTCTTAGAGAGAGGGGCAACTTTGTTGTTTATATTATATTCTCAACAACATTTGCCTTCACATTTGGGTCTCACTAGTAGGTTAATATCATTAAAATAAAAACTTATTTCCAATATTTACAGATATTTATGTTTACATATAATTAATATAAATGATGCATTTCAATTTCAAAGATACTACTGAAATATGTGATTATTTAACAAAAACATACCCCAAAAAAAAAGTACATAAAACAAGAAATACTCACATTTTCCACGTGAATCCTCAACAATGAAAGGCTCTGTCCTTGCTTCTCTTACTTCAATTCCATCAAAACCACCCATGATTCTTGCACCTAGCCTGAATTCTTTCTTTGTCATCCAGCATTTGGTATGCTTAAAGTAAATGTTACCTATAATACCACGGCCTTCTTTAAGATTAAGGTAAACATCTCCCATAAGAAGTTGTTTTTGTCCTTCCCTTTCTCCGACAATCTTATTCTTGAATTCTTCAGGTGTCCAATTATCTCCATCATAGCCATTGACATCCGTGTCAAGAACTACTATTTGCACCTTTGCTGACGCTTCGGGGCCCGTGTTAACGACTTCTCCTGTAAGACCATCAACTAAAGCTACTCCAATGGAGGTATACTCCTCTCCTTTAATTTTCATTCCGGTCAATACTGGAGGAGAGGGTTTGTTCAAGAATTGTAGTTGCAAGCTTCTTGATTTCGAAAGCTGTATCTCATTCCCAGAGACCCTGAATAAGAAGTGGAAGTACGCGTCATCTATACAATAGTTACGAATAAGCATTATTACACTAACAAAATTAGCATTATGTCCTCACCATTTCTTGTTACACGGATGCTTTTGCTCTGCCAGTGCTGATTTGACTTCCTTATCTACCTGGAGACACAAGGTAACATCAGGAAGGTGTTTCTATGTGTACAACTAAACTAAGAACCATAAGCTATAATAGAATATAGACTCTCAACACTAGTTCAACTTAGCTTATTGCTTAATCCACAGGGAGCTTACACTTATCGAGAAGACGAAGAACCCAAAGTGGAGGCATCTCTGTACAACTAATTTAACACATCAAAGATTAAAGTAGGACCTCAGAACAATTGGTTTTAATTCAAACTGGAAAACAGAATCCATGCAGCTACACTTAAGATGGTTGTGTTAAGGCCAAAAAATGATGATTCAAAAGGTACTAATTTTGAAAAAAAAAAAAAAAACTTGAGAATGTGCTGAAAAAGGAAGAAGAAGAGGAAGAAGAGAACCCACATTCAGTGATTAGCATGGAAGCATAAATAATATGCTAACTTTATATTGACATTTGGAGTATTTTGTAGAAGGAAGGAGAAAAGGAGGGCATCCAATACAGTGAAATTTACATACAACAGAAAAAAGCCCATCTATGTCCCTTGACAAGGAGGATAAAGAAGAAAATAAAAGAACTTAAAAATAAATAAATAACAATGAAGCCTTCTAATTATAAGGCCTACGAAAAGAAAGCCCAAATCCTCAAATTGTTTGGATGTATGCCCCCTAACCAATGGTTTTGTGTTGAAATAAATGGTTGTTTTATTCATATATGGACATCATTCAAGAGATCTCAATTTAAATTGAATATGGTTTATGTAGATTAAAGAGTTCTACTTACAAGAGATATAAATCATAATCCTTATGAGTTGTGACTTTCTATTGTTCACCGTTGTAATAGACTCGGGAAATCAACTAGGTCAACCCTATGTGATAAGATGGTTTATTACAATCATTGAAGTGGAAGATTCCAAGTCAATATGTTGGTGGATATGATGCATTGAAGGACCACAACACCTCGGCATGTTGGGTAATCTATTTAGAGTTGTGGGAACAATCTTTTCAAAATTGAATCTACCATGCGTACAAAATCAAAGTAAATGTCAATTGAGTTTGTTCACACAGTTAGTCACTTGAATCTAGATTCTAGATCTGGTCATTCTTACAAACAGTTCATTTAAATGTGATTAGTGACTTATCAAGTTGTGGACTAGTACTTAATGTAAGTAGAAACTCTTTGGTTGGACAAAAAATTAACTTTTACTCCATAGCCACTTATAGACATTATTGGTAAAAGGGTCAACATAGGAGCAGGCCTTATAAATTTCTATATAAATGGCCATCCATGGTGATACATGAACATGAGTTTTATCTCTTTTGAGTGTTCGTGTGTGTGAGAGAGATTTTGTGTGAGACGCCAAGTCTAGTTGGATCTCACTATCCTACATTGGTTCAAACTCCCAAGGATATTAGATTAAAGACTTAAAAGGCATGATGAACAATATGATATGATCAAATTAATGAAATTACTCAAGTTTCTTCATGATTCAAAAAAATCCTTGGAGATCAAAGTGTTCATATTTTCACATCAATAACGCAATTGTCTCGTAATTTAGCTTCCAACAAGAGTTGCAAGGGTTATTTCTTGACATTCTCTAATCTAGAACAACATGATCACATTAGAATAAAATATATTTTGAAAAATTATTTGCCTCCACATGCATTGTCAAACAAACATAAATAACATAGATCACCATTACAGCTAGAGCAATATATGTGGCACATTACATCTAGACAAGTACGAAGTAAAACACAATATGAAAATCGGTCATCCGTTCTTAACAATACTTGTCATTTCTATGTTGTTATTCTGGTAAAAGAAGTTTAGAATTTGCTGAAGTATGCAACTTCGGAACCTTTTGTAAACATTTACTCACATGTTCACCTTATCTCTTTAACATACCTAGGTTGCAACATCAGTACCATAATTGCAAGATTGGCACCATCTATGCTTCATTAGGACTCTCATGACCATCCTATGAGCATAGTTACCAAAAATCTCACTTTGAGATAGGGATCTCACTTCCCTGAAAACTTTTTTCCAGAACGGAGACAAAACTCCTACGAAACCTTCTGAGACGTTTGTGAAGACACAATTTAAGAAACTTGTTAGAAACTTCAATTCTCATAATTTCTACTACCTTTTTTTGCTCCCCAATCTTATTACTCTTCTAAAATATTTTGTAGTATTAGTGTTTTAATTAATCATGAAAACATTCTAATTTGATCTTAAACCACCTAGCATTATATTTATTGACCACGTTCCATGTTTCCCATTTCCCATATTGGCAATTATATTTTTGAGCAGGGGCGTAGTCTAAATTTTTTTTCATTGGGGGCCAAATTAACATTATGAAGAGTGAAATCCAACTCATGGTACTAAGATTGTCAATTGATAAAATAATGACAATATAACATAGATTCCCAACTCAGCTAGGAATATAACCTGAACAATACAAAGTAGAGTTTGAGTGAGTGACAATGGTCTCTGATTTTATTCACATACTATTAAAATGTGGGAACAAAAGACAAGTTTTGATTAGTTCAAAATAATGGGATTCACAAATTTACGAGTGCTCAATACACTTTTTGAATGAGAGACCTACCGTTATAGAGCAGTCATATTCTATATTTTGATAAAACACTCAAAAAGTGTGTGAACAAATTTAAATTCGAGACAATGTACAAATAAATATTGAGAGGGTACAGGAGAAGTGAATCTGTTGAGTACATAAAGTAGATACACATTGTATCTGACATTTGTTGTACAAAATTGTCCTATTATTTAATCAAAATGCTATGAAAATTACAAATGGTATTATGTAATAATAAGATGGTGGTGACCTTACAGTTGTCGAAAGGGGGTGAATTCCAAAAAGAAGCCATTCAATAAAAAATTCAAAATTTTAAGAGTGGCTATGAGGAATCTGCTTGGTATTTCCAAGTTTTTTTTGGTAAACAGCTATATGTAACAGAAACTTTTTAGGGACCCTGCTGGTCCCCCCTGGCTATGCCCGAGGCATACAACAATATGATGGCCGATGGGATGATCACACCATACCACAATATTGTTGGAACCCCTTGTACCTTATCACTCTGCAGAATGTTCTAAACTTTGGAAAAGTTGTGACCTATTATAGAGAGACATCAAGAGGTCCATATAAGGGTGACTTGGATGACCCTTTTCACTCAATTTAAAATTATCCACACTCGTGAATGTCTCAGTGCTCACTGAGGGAGAATTTGGGGGAGACAGAGACAGAAAGAGAATCATTCTACATGAAAGAATATCAAACACTAGGAAACAATTTGAAATTCACAGGGCTTCCAAACAAGTAAAGTCAATTTAAACTTCTACAAGTTTGTAGAGGTTGTAGAGGTAGACATAACTTTTGGTCAATAAACACACACAGCTTCAACAATGCATGAAGTAGTCTGTCCATGCTCAAAAACAATAACCAAATTTGACAAAGAAACATATTAAACTCAGTTCTCTAAGAAAGAAAGAAAAAAAACCAAACAGTCTGAGAGCATCCACTTACATATCCAGAAATTAAGCGCCCTACTGCAGTCACAGAACATGGGTCAGATTGCAACTTCATTATTATCGCTGATACTACACTGAAATACCATCAAACCAAGTGTTAGAAACCAAAATTAAGCAAAACCCATTGAAATTAGCAAGATAATTTGCTCAGTTCTCGTAAAAATCTTCCATTTTTCTTTCATTCAACAGTGACAACAGAAAGAATGAGAAAGAGGGTATAGTATAATTGACCTCCCCAAATCAGACTGAGGCGGCTTTCTTCGCTCATCCTTGGGACTATAATTTCCTTCCTCTGATCTAACATTGACATTTCCTTCAAACTCTCCACCCTGAGGCATTTTCTCACTCTCAAATCAATGCTTTCTTTGACAAAAACAAAAACAAAAACAAAAACAAGTAATAATGGTTTTGTTTCAATTGTGGGTGTATTAATATAGCTTAGCTGAACTTAGTTTTTCTGGGTCAATGGAGGCGATTAGTGAAGATAACACAAGTAACGTGTTTGCTTCAATTGTGGGTGTATTTATATTGATAGACTAGCTGAGCTCTAGCTTTTCTGGGTCAATGGTGGTGATTAGTGAAGATAAACAAGTCACAGTGTCCACTCATCACAGTAGTTGTAGATAGACACTCCCACACACACACCAACACTCCCTACACCTAAATATTCATTGTTTGATATCGCCATAGATCTGTTTTCTTTTTTCCAAAGGACTGGCTGGCTTTGATTTGACCCAGAAGATGGGGTGACTGGGACCCATAAAACTATCTGTTCACACACATCTGCAGAGAGAGGGGGCGAAAGTTTTCACACTAACATGCACATGGTGCACGGTGACTATTCAGGCCTTCTTTGGAACCTTCCCTTCTAGTTAAAAAGTCAAAAAAATTTTAAATTAATAAAAAAATCAATAATTCATATTAAAAAGTCAAAAATTTTCTTTTCTCTCTACTTTTTATACATCTTTTCATAAAAAGTTAAAAAATCATCCCAAACATACTAATTTTTTTTAGCTCATATTTTAGCTAAATAATCAAAAAATTACTAAATTAACCTATTCCCAAACGAAGCCTCAGTAGTTTAAAATTATAGCCATAGGGCATGTTTGATTGGGTGGATTAGAGCATGGGATTGAGATTATTAATCCGTGGGCCCAACTATCCTATGTTTGTGTTAATATTTTGATTTAGGATTATTAATCCAATGGATAATTAATTTGTAGGATTATTAGTAATGGGGTAGGAGTGAGATTATTAATCCAATGGATATTAATCTAATTGGATAATGAATAGCACACTAATTTAATAGGATTATTAATACTTCACTATTAATATTGTGAATCAAACATGACCATAGTATTTTATAATATAAGAATATAATCGGTGAAAAAGATGAAATATTGATTATTTATATTAAATAATTATAAAATTTTAAAATATATAATAAATAATAATTGATAAAATATAATAATTGATAAAAAAAAATATGACTACAATACTCAGAACTATTGACTATTACTCCCTCTTTTGAAGGAAAGCATTAAACGTTCCTACTTTTTAATTTTCATTGAGGGGTCATTTAGGAATAAGTTAAAAAAATTAAAAGTTAACTTTTATTTATTTTAAATTGTATTATCTCTTACGTAAAAAAAATTAAAAAATTAATTTTAACCAACTTTTCAAATCACAATTGAATACAAACCACTTTTCAAAAGAAACCATTATCATTTTTATTTGGAAAATAATGAAAAATAAGGTTGAATATTTTCACATTTTCAACTAGGAAAAAATTGAAAAAGAGGGTAGTCAAAAAAATTACTCAACATTAAAATATATGGTATAGATTTAAATTTAAATATTATATAGGTTTGTTTGGGGAGTGAGTTGACTTTTTGACTTTTCAACTCTTTGACTATTTTAGTTTAGAGAAATGCGTGGTAGCTCGAGAGTTAAGCGGCTCGAATGCCCCGAGTGTCAAAACGACGTCGTTTTGACACTTTTTTCAAGCTACGTAGAAGAGAAAGAAGGAAAGAGAGAGAAAGGTTTTTCAACAAATCCAAAGGGAAGGAAGAAGAGAAAGAACGAAGGAGAGAAAAAAAAAAAAATCGAGCCATTCGAGCTTTCCATTTTCGAGCTACATAGCGGGGTCGTTTAGTTTAGGACTAAAAAGTCTCATATGAGATAGATTTTTTAGTTTTTTTGACTTTTATAAGAGAAAAAATATAATTATTATGGTTTAGATGTGACATTTTGTCTTATTAATTTTTTTTTATTTTTTTTTATCTTTTTGTGACTATTTTAACCAAAAAACTCCGAGTTTTTTTCTTCTCAAACGAACTCTAATGTAGATTACTTTGAATAAATCTGCATTGTGTTCCTAGCAATTTTTTTAGAGTAACTTTATGAGTTTTGTAACATTATTATTTCATCATATATGGAATAGGGAAAAGGATTTTAAGTCATAGAATTTGGTTTTAATTTGACAAAAATTACACTTTTCATTGTAATGCTAGGTACACCCAAATTCAAAGTCCTAGAATTTGGTTTTAATTTGACAAAAAAATTCTCTTTTTCTTTTTGGATAATATTATGGTACACACTTTTAAAAAGGTATACCATATGTAAGTTATGACATTTGTAGGGTTGATTATCACATGTTATAACTCAATCCCATGAAAGTCATAACTAAAAAAAATAATAAAAAATAAATTATAACCAAACATTACGTAAGGTATAATCAAGAGGTTTTGAATCATAGCTAGAATAATATAATAAACAGAATTACAATAACTCATAACTAATTTCACAATGTCTATAACCAAGTTATAATTCACCTCAATAAGTCATAACCAAATACTTCAAAAGTCATAACCAAATACTTCAAAAGTCATAACTAGGGGACATATGTGTACTATTGAGTATCCCTTTCTTTTTTCTCTTCTTTATTTTATATTTACGTTGTGTTTGGTTGGGGGATTTGCAAAGAGATTTAGAAATGAAAAGAAAAATGGTAGGTGAAATGTAAGTATGTTTTATTTACATTTCACCTAATTTCACATACCTTTTTTCTTTTCTTTTTCGAATCACTTCTCAAATCTTTTAATCAAACACAACGTTATTTCCTTTTCATAAATCCCTCACTATTAGTCACCATTGCAACTCTATTTGGCGCAATCATCAGTCCCTCTCCTATTATTCCCTACCGCTCACTGTTGCCCTTACCTCCATCCTCGTGTTCAGTGGCGGAGGGAAAACAGGTCGAGGGCTTCACGTGTCCCCTTAGTTTTGAATTTTTTTATTTTTTTGTCATATATAAAATGTTTATTTTTTTTCTTAACATATTTTTTGGCTAAGAATTTATTATATTATTCACAACAAATAGTTATTTGATATTTTTAGAGCATTATGTGGTATTATTTATGTAATAGTATAAACCAATAGTATAACAAATTTTTTTATAGATTGGATATAATGAACTCATTATTTTAGATAGTTGACAGACTACTTAGTGTGATTTGTGATTTCTCATGCTTTGAGCATCACATAAGCAATGCTATGTGGTATTCTAAGACCGTTTAATAATTTTCATTCAAAACACATCATTTATAAACAATGTCATCTCTTCAATATTTTTCTGTCAAATAAAAATTAAATAGATTTTATAATAATTTGTGCTATAAAGGATGTGTTTTTATTACCTAAAATTAAGAATTTTAATCTATAATTTTTTGTGCTAAAATTACGATCTTACATCACTATCCTGCATCGAACTATTCTACACTATTATAGAATTTTAATTTGTTCCTATTAATAATGAATATGTAATTTTTTATACTTAAATTTAACTCATAAAATTATTATTATCTTAATGTTGATCATAATTTTTTAAAAATAAAAATTATAATTAATAATACCCCATCTAACTTAATTTCTTGACTCAGCCACTGCTCGTGTTCCTATCTTTACTTGTCATTGCCGTTGCTCCTACTATCTTTTCTACAAACCCTCTTGCTCTCTTATCATCCCTAACTCTTCTACAATTACAACCCCCCTTTTCAAGTCCTAACCACTGCAAACAATCCTAATCCACTATTTTCTTGTTATTGCAATTTCTTACTCGATTGCTACAAATTGCATCTTGTGCAAGAGAAAAGTGTGTCCAGTGCAAATGTGAACTTGTAAACTTTCATAAGGAATCTTTGCTCTTTTTTTATTTTTATTTTTATTTTAAGGCAAATTACCAACACCCCCTCGAACTTTGACTAAAATACAGATTTCTCCTTGAGGTTTGGAAAATTACAAATTACCCCCTAAGAGTCATATTTGCATAACAAATGAGGAGCAATTTGTTGTGCAAATATAAATCTCAGGAGTAGGATGTAATTTCTCAAACCTCAGGGAAAAATTCATATTTTAGTCAAATCTCGAAGGGACGTTGGTAATTTGTCCCTTTTTTTTTTTAAAGCTCATTTGTTATTAATAAAATATATGTTTGGCTATAAAATTGAGATCATAATGTAGATTAAAAAAAAATAAAAATAAACCTTTAGCTTATCAAAAAAACACAGAAGTGTTTGGGCATAGACAACAAAATTAAAAGAAGCAAAATTATGAAGCATTATAAAATTGGACAATGATTTTATTTTGTGAAAAAACACAAAATAAAGTGGACGGCGATTTTTGTTTATCCATTCTAGTTAAGTGGAATGTACAAGTGATATCATATGTGATTTGCGTACTTTCTGAGGAATGATGTCACTCACACCCTTTTGTTTGCTTTTGTGTGTGTGGATTGGACAGGTGTCTTGGAAAGAAAGAAATAGTCAAAAAAAGAATCTTGAAATTCCACGTCATCATATAATAAAAACAAAATGACAATCTAGACTAAAGAAAGAATAGTCGAGTCAAGCAAGGTTACAGTGACGAAAATTATTATTAGAATTAAGGTACATGCACGATACAACCAAACGCAAAGCCCTTCTAGAAGAGAAAGGATTTGATGCACCCTAATTAATTTTCGTAACATAAATTATAAATATTTTTTTAAAGGGAGAAGCACCAATAAATCTCAAATTATAAACTTATACACTGATTAGTCTTGGGTTTTTTCTATTTAACCGATAGGTCCTGACGTTTAGAAAATGTCAACGTTATCTTGAATAAATTGTGTTTCAAAGTTTGAATTGGGGCGAAAATGGGTATTTAGTATTGGTAAAATTACTGATTTAGCCATGGAGCGCACTGTAGGCGTTTTTACTTTTTTTTTCTCGTTTTCCATCGAATCTTCTAGTCTGTGTAAGGAAACATCGACGATTGACATTCCCAAACTTGAAACATTGCCATTCCTAACGTTTGAAACCGAAATTGGGGATTCGAGTATATCCAAATTTTATTTTGACATTAAAACATTATGTGAAGGCCAAAACCCTAAACAAAAACATTAAAGGGGTAGTGTTCGAAACGGTGTTGCGTCACCCATAACGGCAATGCAATGTTAACGGAAGGTTAGTCGCAGATTTGATTATAGGAAAGGAGGAACGTGTTTTATATACATCACTTCAATTCCGAGCGCTGTCGGATCTACTGACAATGACAATGCAGGGCGAAGGTGTGCTTTCATTTTTCATTTGGTGATTTCGAAGGTTATGTACGTATGTATGTACGATTATGGGTTGCCAAATGTGTGATTGTGTGTTAATTGTT